TTATAAAATTTCAAGCTACATGGACATTCTAAATACCAGTTTTTATGCTGATACAAAGCACAAGCCACAGTTCCAGTCTGTCAAATAGAGCTGTCTCAAAATTTTGAGTCGAGTGTCTCAACGTCACTACAGTTAATGTAGATTTGTTCAGTATCTAAGAAAGGCCATTTTTATTTGCCTGAACAGCTCTCCATCAATGAGATGGCTGGCAAATGCAAGAGAAGCTAGGGCACCCTGTGCAGACAGGGATACCCACAGTCAAGTAGCACATGATATCCCTTCACCTTTCCTCTGCAGTTCCAGAAATGATGCACAACACAAGGGAAGGCAACCTGACGTGGTGCCAGTAAGCTCAAAGGATTGTTTACTTGTACTAAACTGACTCTGCAATTCTGAGCAGACTTTTGTGACACAGAAGTTCCTTCAGACGGTCACTGAGTAATTTATGGCTATACCAGAGGCTCACTAAGATGTTGTAGAACCACAACTATGTTTGATGGGGCACCTCATTTTCTAAAGTTCTTCTAGTAATTATTAAAAAAAAAAAAATTAAGCATAAAAAGGTAAATAAAAGCAACATGTAAAAATCACAGCTCTCTTTATTCCTCAGGTTGGAAAATTGATCCAAGAACAAAAACTTTCCGAAGACAACGGTTCTGCTGAGGAGTTTGAATTAATTGCTGATAGCCTTGAATTTATTTACAGGTATCATTTCCACAGAAACTACACTACAATAGATACAAAGAGCACAATAACACTACTTGACAGAGCACATTCTCAGCTACAAAACACTATTTTTCAACATAATCACTATCATTAGCTATGCATTTGCACCAGCCATGAACAATAGTCTGCATGCGTGTCAGAACCTGCACCAGAAGTGGCCTGCTGTTGCTACTGCTGAAATGCACTACCCACCACCCCACTGTGCTCACATCTGCTGTTTGTCTTCATAAACATTCAGCAAGCATTAATGAATGTCAGTGGGTGCAATTTTTTCCTCGAGGAGGAATTTAATAGCACACCTTTGTTTCACATACATTTCCATGTCAGATGCCCCTCTGCTGCCATCTGTCACACAGCATCAAAATGTAAAGAAAATAGTGGGAAGGTTCAACATCTACTGCCATATTACCACCATCTGCCTCTGACACCGTGGGCCAACATCATAAAATAGGAAGCATTACTTTTGGAGCAGCCCTTGTACATTCACCACTTACAGATGGAGCAAGATGGAACAAGCAGAGCTGATTTCATTCACCTAACCCCTCTCTCCTCTCTATCCTTTCTCTCATGTGTAAACCTGATTTCTCTTTGCTTTCTGAAGAGATTAACTCGGTCTCTATGATCAGTCTTCCCTTCTTAAGCCACGGAAAGGCAGCAACATCTTCATGTACAGCAGTCAGTATTTTTCTTCAGGTGGCGTAGTCACCACAATTTACATCAATAAACACAAGTCCACAGTCTTTGACAGCAGCCCTTCCCAAAAGCATCTTTCTACTCATCCCAAGGTCAGATTTTCAACTACAGACAATAAGATTTAACTTCACTTGCAGCTGAGCATCCAGGCTGGCCACATACAGCTCTGATTTGTCCCAGTGTTTCTGGTGTTGTTTGGATCTGTGGCATGCTACTAAGCCCATGTCACTGGTTTGCATGGTTACATGATGATACACACTGGGTGGTGGTTTCCTACCTCTTTCTCTGAGGTTTTTAATCTAGGTATTACACAGCAATCACATATCAAAAGCAAGGCATTCAAATCAGCCACGTGGACTAAGGCCTGCTCAGAAGAAATGTTCTTCTTAGTGCTGTTCAGAAAGCACACCAGCTCTGCCATGGAGCTTTCCATTCAGAATAACTCAGAAACTCAAAAAAGGCTCCAAAGGCAGCTGCTGAACATACAGCCTTTAGTGAGCACACAGAGAATTTTCTAGTTGTTTTTGTACCACCTCATCAGTCCCCACCTAGGTGGTGGGGTCAAGAAGGAGAAGCCATCAAGGGAATAAACAGAAAGACAGAGTTACAAACTTCCATTTGGATTTTACATTGTAAATAGCAGAAATCAAAGTCAGTACGTAGGTATGTGATGTTCTTGCACAGCAAAGAAGTAATATTTTTCCCTCTTCCATGGTAGAAGAGCACCAATGACTTCCCCTTTACACAACTGAACCACTTCTCAATTAAACCACTTCTTAAGTGATCCCAGAGCCTTCCTAGCAAGGAAATAGGGTAAAAAAAGCAATTTAAGTCTTCTTATCAAGACAGCAATTTGAATGTTTGGTGAGAAATTAAATAACTGTTTATTTGAAGCCAAAAAGCTTCAAAAGAATGCAGGTAAAAAACATCAAAAAGGACAAAAATATGCATAATGAAGTAACATGAAACAAGCTGGGGATCTTTTTTTAAAACAAATGCATGCATGCCACCAAACCGGTATTCTTGTCATAGAATAAAGTTGCTCTGAAATGTCACCAAGACACTGGGATAATCCCGTTCAAATGCTCCTGAGCCAGATGACAGTACATTGTTTTACCTACACAGGCCTGTTGCTGTTTTCCACAGCTTTTTACATGGTGAAATCATTAAGGGTTAGAGTTTAGCACCCCTCATTTCCTTTCTGCCTAAAGCACAGCTATCAATCTCTTGACTTTTTCTCTTTTTTCTGCCTTTCCCAACACAAGCAGAAAGTGATTTCCAAGGAGGTGACTTAGGGAGAAAAAGGGATGCTGAATATCTGCCACCAGCTAAGGAAGAATGAGGTGAGCTGAGCTAGCTGGAGCAAAGCAGCAGATTCAAGAGCTGTTTCACACGTGCTACCTCAGCCCGTGGCACAACACAAGCCCTGGCTTGAGATGGCTAAGCCTGCCAGCGTACAGTCAGCCCAGGATGCTCATCCACTCTTGCATTAGATCTCACCCATTACTAATGGTGGGCTTGGCCCATCATTGTAATGAGCAGCAGTCACTGGAGAAATTCTACTTTTTAGCACTTCTTTGCATGATAAAGAAGCTCAGCAAAAATTTTGCAGGTTTCTCGGATCTTCCTACCCTTCCTACCCTTCTAGCAAGGTGCTAGAAAGCACACGTTAACAAAGCACTCGGAGGCTGAAAATAATAGCTTGGCTTATGCATATAATCCACACAGAGAGGGCTGTTCATACAGAAAGAGTCTTCCTGCTCTGGATTGCCCATGTAATCCTCCACACAGTACTTAACCACGTGTTTTCCAGGCCGGCACTGTGAACCTTTGGGAAACATCAGTGGAAGCACACTGGGCGATGGCGTTCTGGAGTACTGACTGCTGGAAACTACAAAGCAATGCATTCTTTCAAATTTAAATGGACAAAACATGGTCATAAGTGTCAGGGAAATGTAAAAAAGAAAAAAGTAAAGAAAAAAAAGAATATGAAAATTTGGGCCTCCTTACCCGTCATACAGTCTTTGTTCTGTGTCAAAGGGTTCTATTTGCTTCCTTCACTGGCACAAACAAAATTATTCCCATTTGCCCCAAGGACAGTTGACAGCTAGCTACGCAAGCGAGAGATGGATTCTGTTCTGCATCACACAAAATCAACAAAATAGTCAAATGTGTTCTAGCTCAATAACTGCCTTCATTTTTTATTTTCACTAACAGCAATGATGATGCGATAATAGAAGTCAATGAATGCAGCTTGAATACCACATTGGATGGTTAGAGGAAGCCATTGATACGAAGCTGGGAAACCGGTGTTGCAAATTATTGAAAATATTATTAAAAAAATTTCAATGTCACTTTTGTAGAACTATTTCTCAACAACCTACTGCCCTAGCTTGTGAAAGGCCTTAATCATTAATGTTGGAGGGATTCATACTAAAGTAAAATGTCTTTCTTCAGTGGGGATGATTACTTGAGACAAGACTAGAGGAGAAAAGAAATTACTTAAAATTCATCCTGTACTTTTTTTATTTGGTGTACACAGTTCATAATTAGTTCAAATATATCTTTCAATGTTAAAATATACTTAATAAATTTTGCATCAGACTTTGACTAGACAGAACAGCACAGCTATTTTACTTACAAAACAACTGAAATATATTCAGCCAAAAAAACTTGGTATTTCCTATCTATTTCACAAAAAAAAAAAAAAAAAAAGAGTCTGCACAAACAGACTCATTTTTAAAAAATTACAATTTTCCAGCAGCTCTCCTAGATTTCTGACACTTTTTTTAAGGATACTACTTCTCAATTTGATGGGCTATCATCTGTCCATTCCCAATTTAAAAAAAATCTTTCAGTCTCTCAATATTTCGCTCTCAATAATGACAAGAAAGAAGGTACTGGATAAAATATAAATAAAAGGACTCGTACTGGAAACAAAATATTTAATTACAGTAAAAATACTGAAACTAAAATTTAAATAATTATGAAGTTAGAAATTAAAAGTGCCTGTCAATTAACTGGACACATATATACATACTTATACATAAGCATATACATATACTATATATATGAACTATACTTTGTTTTTTTATTTATACTTTATATATATTTATACTTTTATAAATACTCTCTCTATTACAATAGTAAAAATCTAAATCTGTCCACGGAATACATATGTCCCGTTGGTACACAAGGCTGTACACCACCAGAAGATTTAATTCAAATTTAACTAAAGTAATGTATTTATCACACCCTTTTGCTAAGGCTATGTTGGGAACAGGAGGGAAAAGGAATTCCTCTGATATTTTCCTTTGATAGAATTACAAAACAAAGCTGTCATGACTTGGAGTACCTGAAATCATACATAATGTTTTCATCTCACTTCTGAAGCTAGCAGGAGGTCTGACACCAACTGCTGGTGAAGAATCAGAGCTTTATCACTGGAATTGCAGACATGCTACAGATAAGCAATGAAAGCAATCAACAGCCTGCGCATTCATTATAGCTGCCATGCATCCCTCCTGTCTTACTCAGCAATAAAAGGCAACAGTAGAAAAAACAGTTCTTTAGTCTCTCACCTTGCTATCTTGTCACTGCATGACATAGTAAGTAGCCTTTCTCCTTGCAACACTCCATCCCATGTCTGGATGGTGGTAGTAGAGCGCACAGGGATCGTCCCTTCCCCAGATTCTATTTTTGTTCGTAGCTGTCCTCTTGCTTTGCGGTTTGGATGTCTGTCCCCTTGATCTAAATGACAAAAGTTACTTACAATCAACCAAGAAACATTCTCAATTTTACGTAGAGCATTAAATGAGCATTAAATGAGTCTATTAAAGTCTGCATAACAATTTCTATCATTACATTTTAGTTACAGCAAGACATGCAAAATGTCTTCTAAAACTGCAATAAAACCAAGCTCTGCATTAGGAAACATGGTCAGCAGGCACTTCTAAAATAGTGTTTTTGGCATTTTAATATTAAAATGAAGTCAATTAACAGATCAGGACTGAGAACAACCTTTAAAAATAGAAACACTGAGATGGCTAGATTAGTTTAGTAAGAATGCTTGCTGAATCACTGGCTTATCCTTGCTGGCAATCAGATTCTTGAAGACCACAGAATCACAGAATCACAGAATGGCCTAGGTTGAAAAGGAGCACAGTGCTCATACTGTTCCAACCCCCTGCTATGTGAAGGGTCGCCAACCAGAGACCAGGCTGCCCAGAGCCACATCCAGCCTGGCCTTGAATACCTTCAGGGATGGGGCATCCACAGCCTCCTTGGGCAACCTGTTCCAATGCCTCACCACCCTCTGGGTGAAAAACTTCCTCCTAATATCCAACCTAGGCCTCCTTTTTCTCAGTTTAAAACCATTCCCCTTTATTCTAACACTATCCACCCTTATAAATAGCTGTTCCCCCTCCTGTTTATAAGCTCCCTTCAAGTATTGGAAGGCCAGTATGTGGACCATGTGGATGATCACCCTGTATCTAAATTCTACAATACAGTAAGAACAGCTCAGATCTTTGACTAATACACATCTGCACTAAAAGGAAAGAAGATGCCTGAATTTCAACCATGTCACTTCCACATGTTCAAATAATACTTTAAACACCAATACTATAATGTTATGCTGTCGTACCCTCTTGTGCTGCTTCATGTGGTGAGAAAATTCTAGCATCTCCACAAGGAGACGTGCTGATATAGAGATGGAACTGCACATTCTCCTTCAGTTTAAAACCGCCTCGCTCTGATTTGATAAAAATGGATTTTTCCTGATCATCTTTATTGCTGAAACAGAGAATACAGCTTAAGTCAAAAGGAAAGTTAATACATAAACAACATAGGCTGCTCAGTCCTAACAGGCATTAAAAACAAACACAGGATGTCTGGAAATTTTGCAGTGTAACTCCAACAAGTTATTACAAAATGAAAAGTCAATGGAGAAGATAAATAGAGAGTCCTTTATGTTATCACAGTGGGGTTTGGAGACTTCTCAGAAAACAAAACAACATCACACTTTAGACTACTTGAGATGACTTTGATTTATATGTTTACCTTCTCAGGATTGACAGTGAACCAAATACAGGCTCTGTTCATGTCAAACTTTAGAATAAATGTCATGAGTTCTCAGTTAAACATTCTAATGCAACAAGTGGTACTTTACACATCAGTTTGTTTCAGCGGGGCAATCTAGAACAAGTATTTTACACTGAAATCATTCAAAGATACATTTTTGGCAGCTTTTCAATTGAATGAAGCCAGCTTATCTTCCCATAAGCTTACCTTAGATAAAGCTCGAGTTGTGTATACAGAAATTTAAGCAGGCACCGGCGGGATATAATTTCTGCATGGCAATCATTTAATGCAAGACCACGATCACTCATATATTCACCATTAATGCATTTTGTTCCCGTAGAAACACTTATTACCAGAGCATCTTTGACATCCGTACCTGGAAAAACAAAATGTTAGAAGATACAATTAAAATCACAACCTAGCAAGAGAACTTCCTGTAGAATTCACACAAGGTTCTTTTTTACTCTGTTCCTTTTTAAAATAAAAAAAAAAAAAAATTCTTATGATTCTTTCTCATTCTTTCTTAAAAGCAAAAGGTTTATACAGACTTATCCAGTATGGCCTACGGTTCTTGAGAGTTCAGGTAAGGTTCTTGAGAGTTTTGGAGTTCAGGTAAGTTAGAAATTGAAACATGAAAGGTAGAACTAGAGAATGAAGGAAGATTGAGTGTTAAGCCACTGCAGAACTTATCAGCAGTACAGGACTTCCTGAGATGCATTCCCTGATGTTAAATTGGCACAACAGAATTTAAAAATATTTTCTGTGTTTTCTATACAAACAACTACCTTTGTCATTAAATTTTAAAAAAAGTCAGCTCCATTAAGAGTTGAGAAAGATAGATCAGAACCTTACATACATCCATCAAAATAAAGAAAATTACACCATAAAGTGGATAGCCCTACCAGCTCTCATTGCTTATGAAATAAATATTCACTGAAGTACAGCCTTGACAAAAATGGATGAGGCCAGCTGCCCCATCTACTGCAGGTGGAAAAGTGGGAAACCAGTTCACTGATCCAACACAGAACAGCTGTGCAAGGGAGTCCAGGCATCCTCCAGATACTGAACTTACTTATGAGAAGCCTGTTTCTAACTCCATGTAAAGCGAGTTCTTCAGTTAATCAAAATGCATTTACATGTTAACTAAGTCTGGATTCTTTCGGCAAATGTCTTTTCTGGTAATCTTGGACACAGATACAATACAACCTTGATAAATAGGATGAAATTTAAAAAAAAAAAAGAAAAAAGAAATACAGTTCTACAGCATGTTCTTCATGATTGGTCATCATTATGAATCACAGAACCACAGAATCAGAATGACTTGGCTTGGAATGGACCTTAAAGTTCACCCAGTCCCAACGATTGCCATGGGGTTGGACCTCTACCCATGGGGCACCACCCACTAGCCCAGGTTGCCCAAAGCCTCATCCAGTCCGGCCTTGCGTACTCCCATAACTTCTATGTAGACTGTTCCAGTGCCACACCAACTTCATTGTGAAGAATTTCTTCCTTATATCCAATCTAAACCTCACTTTTATTGATTAAAACTGTTACCTCTTGTCCTATCATTACACTCCCTGATAAAGAATCCTCCCCAGTTTTCCCGTAGGCCTCCTTTTAAGGACTGAAAGTCTGCTATAAGGTCTCCCCAGATCCTTTTCCTCTCTATCAGTTTCTGATCAGATGGGCTTCCGGAAATATTTTGGTGTCTTAACTCCTCACACACTTGGAATCTACCTGGAATACAAAGTCATCAGTGATGGAAGACATTCACAGTCAGCACTTTAAATCATCCAGAAGACAGCAGAATTTTTTACAAGCTTACATTTAAGGACCTGTATTAAAAACACAGTACTTGCTTTTATGGATCATATAATATTTCATGGAAACTAGGGATGTCAGAAACGTTAGGCTTCAGCCCTCTGAAGTTAGAGCTGCAGCTCTCTGATCATCATTGTGGCCCTCCTCTGGACCTGCTCCAACAGCTCCAGCTGTTTCTTGTGTTGCAGGCTCCAGAACTGGATGCAATACTCTGGGTGAGGTCTCATGAGAGCAGAGCAGAGGGGCAAAATCACCTCCTTCGTCCTGCTGGTCACAGAATCACAAAATCACAGAATCACAGAATTGTAGGGGTTGGAAGGGACCTCCAGAGATCATCGAGTCCAACCCCCCTGCCAAAGCAGGTTCCCTACAGCAGGTCGCACAGGTCGGCATCCAGGCAGGTCTTGAACATCTCCAGAGAAGGAGACTCCACCAACTCCCTGGGCAGCCTGTTCCAGCGCTCCGTCACCTCACTGTACAGAAGTTCCTTCGCACATTTGTACAGAACTTCCTATGCTGCAGTTTCCAGCCGTTTCCCCTTGTCCTGTCTCCACTCACCACTGAAAACAGGCCTCACCATTCTGCCCCCCACACCTTAGATATTTATAGACCTGGATCAGGTCCCCTCTCAGTCTTCTTTTCTCAAGGCTGAACAGACCCAGTTCACTCAGCCTTTCTCCACAGGAGAGATGCTCCAGGCCCCTCATCATCTTTGTGGCCCTCCGCTGGACTCTTTCCAAGAGATCCCTGTCTGTTTTGTACCGGGGAGCCCAGAACTGGACGCAGTGCTCCAGATGAGGCCTCACCAGGGCAGAGCAGAGGGGGAGGATCACCTCCCTCGACCTGCTGGCCACGCTCTTTTTAATGCACCCCAGATTGCCATTGGCCCTCTTGGCCACAAGGGCACACTGCTGGCTCATGGCAACCTGTCATCCACCAGGACACGCAGGTCCCTCTCCGCAGAGCTCCTCTCCAGCAGCTCATCCCCCAACCTGTACTGGTGCGTGCAATTATTCCTCCCCAGATGCTAGACTCTACACTTGCTTTTGTTAAACCTCATCCATTTTTTTTCTGCCCAGCTCTCCAGCCTGTCATGCTTCTCTTGATGCAACCTAGCATATGGTTGGCCTTCTGGGCTGCAAGTGCACATTGCTGGCTCCTGTTGACGCTTTCATCAATGGACAACCCCCAGATCCTTCTCCTCAGGGCTGCTCTCTCAAGCTATTCTCCACCCAGTCTGTATTTGTGCTTGGGATTGCCCCAAACCCGATGCAGGACCTTGCACTTGGCCTTGAAGTGCAGGGGGTTGGCACAGACTCACCCCTCAAGCCTGTGCAGGTCCGTCTACTTAGCATCCCTTCCTTCTAGATAGCATCCCTTCCCACTAGATAGCATCCCTTCCCTCTAGATAGCATCTCTTCCCTCTAGCGTGTATCACTCAGCTTGGTTTCATCTGTGAGCTCAGTGGTGCAGTTGGTCAGAAATGGTCAAAACTACAACGTTTACTTCAGTCATACTTGTAAGACTTCTACAACAGTCAATGTTGCAGAATTACTTTGTGATCTTGTGGCTTCCTTATCTTGCTTTGCTCCTACAAGCAGCTTTTGCTTCCCTATTAAACTTCCTCAAGACTTCTTACCTTCCTTCCAACTTCTCTCCACTCCCTGAAAGAGGGCACTGAGTGAGAAGCTGTGTGGGTGTTTGGCTGCTGGACAGGGTCAACCCAACCAGAGATATCTGGCAACATGGCTTGGGCCAAAGGTTCCCAGGTCACAATCTTGTTCTAGAGTATGCATTACTTTCTACCTTAACTAGCACCCTCAGAACTCATAAATGAAATTGGAAGGCCCCTACAAATATCTCCACATAAGGAAAGGGCTAGCACTACCCAAGAAAATAGAAGCTAACATGCAACCCAAAAGAACAAGTAAAAAGCTCACAGCACATAGCTGCATAAAGGCCATCCAAAAGAAATGTCACTGTACATTTATCACTGATCTTGGTCTGATTTGTACAGCTTAGTGGAGGCACCTCATGACACACACAAAATGAAGTGCCCACTGCAAAGGATCAGTTGTACTGAAGAAAAAGATAAACATTAACCTAAGGAAAATTCAGAGACAGAATTCAGTTTAGGATAAAGATTCCCTGTTCTCAGTGTTCAGGCAGAGCACGTATCTCAGGACAGCAATCAGAGACCTGTGACAATACTACTATTTGCACTTGCATACTAGAAGCAGCTGCTGAAACACCAGGTGCTTTCTTTTTCACCAGAACAACTGAGACACAAAACACTTAGAATGAAATGCAGCACAATTTACTAAACAAAGTGCAAAATTTTAAACACTTGGAAAGCAAGCATAATATCCTACATAACACGCCAAAAACAAGGATGCCACCTGTGTGAACAATGTGATGAAATGTATTTTAGACTTACTTTCAAAAAATTTCATACTTCATTCTAAAAAGTACTTTAAAGAGATCTATTTTGTAGACCGTGAGTTACCTCAGAAACCTCAACTACACAGAAGACAGCAACTCAGGAAACAGACTAATCATCTTTAGCCTATATTTAGTGCACATTCCAGATTAAACAGTAAGCATATACTTCAATATTGGTTGACAGAAAAAAAAAGAACATAATTTCTTAGAATACAAACAAAGCTTTGGTGTTTAGACAGTTAAAACAGTATTTTTTATCTTTACCTGTTGTCATGACAATTCCAGCAAGGACTTTTCTACGTGCATGTGGAGAAGTGAAATTTTCTGTCAAATCACAGAATTTATCTACAACCAAGCGTGCAACAGCATCAGCTAAAACCTGTTGGATCACACAGAAATGCACATTAGAAAATTAAACAACCTTTAAAAAAATACAACAGTGCTATGTTATAAAGATCTGCATTTTTGAATGATTCAACACAACAGATTAAAACTGCTTGCATTGTCCGTTTTGAAACTAGGCAAAGATTTTGATGCATCTTCAGTACATCAAGGAGGGCCAGGTGTAAATTTCAGGCACATTGAACACTCTTTATATGTCATAGAGTTCTGTGTGCTTCACACCTTTTAAAACAGGGTCACACAGCCCTAAGACAAGCATCAGAGTATCTAATGTTCATGATATTATGAACACCTGAGGCTTAGCAGAACTGAATAAACAGATGGGTCAATATTTTCATGCTCAAACCTCAAAATACATCATTTCAGCATCAACACTGGACTTGACAGGAAGAATTCAGTGTAAAACCCAGCCTCTTCAAATCGACATGGAAACCTTTTATAACAGTCAAATGAACTACCTGGCTACTACGTACTAAGAATTAATTTCTTTTCAACTTTTCTTCTTTTTTAAAAACAAGATATTTGCAAATTTAAGAGAGGCACTTGTATAGCATACCTGTGTCTAAATTAGGAAGACTTATCTCTTTCACCTGAAGGAAAACTTGCAAATGGAGAATAAACTCTGAAAGAATTCAGGAGACTGTGTGACTTCATCTTCCCAGAACAATCAAGAAATTAAGAAAATTCCAAGTTAACTGGGTATTGTAGACTGGGGATAAAAACATATGCTTAAAAAATACAGAAATCTCATCTCAAACTATTGGAAGAAGAATCCAATGTATTAAATTAGACAGAAGAAGGCAAAAGAAATGGTGGAAAAACTGAAACAAGATTTGGTGACACACCAGTTTGGCTCTTCTTGCCGTGGATAAACCGTTTCATCTCTATACCAGTAAGTGAGGGTGCTGCTTTAGAAGTCTTAACCCAAAAATGGGAAGACAAAAGAAAACTTACACCATACCTGTCTAAATTACTAGATTCTGTATTCTGTGGATTGCCAGAATTTTTTCAGGCACTGGCAACAACTGCCTTATTGTTGGAAGAAAGCAGGAAATTCACCTTCGGAGGACAATTGACCCTCACCAAGTAAAGAATATGCTTTACTCAGAAGGCAGAAAAGCAGCTAACAGACTCCAGGATACTGAAATATGAAGCCATATTAATAGAAAGAGATGATTTAGCTATAGTCACTGTCTATCCTGAATCCCGCCTCCTTCTTTTTGAAGGGAACTGAAGATAGAGTGAACATTATGTGGAACATAATTGTTTATATTTAATCAATTATCAAAGACCAGGTCAGACTTACAAGATATACCCTTAAATAAAGCAGAAATATAGTTTATAGATGGATCCTCTAGAGTGGTACATGGAAGATGGTCTAATGGTTTCACCATCATCAAAGAGACAGAAGGAAAAGCTGAGGAAATGAGATGTTTGTCTGCTAATTGATCAGCTCTAACTTGTAAATTACATGCATAAAATCAAGCACTAAAAGTGTTACAAAGAAAACAGTGAACTATATATACAGACTTGTGATATGTGTATGGAGTCAAAAATTCAAAAAAAAAAAAAAATTGGGAAGAAAGGGGTTTAATAAACAATAGAAGGAAGGAATTGTCCCATGAGGCATTGATTTGACAGGTTTTGGAAAGCTTGTTATTATCTGAGAAAATTGCCATAAAGCACGTAAAAGGGCACCAAAAAGGAAACCGTCTCTGATGAGAAGACTAAAGAAGATGTCTTGCAGTCAGAAATGAAAATGAATTAGAACTACTTCACAGAAAGATTTGGGAGTCTCACCTTATGAGCTGCTTTTTGGATTACCAAACTGTTCCCCAGTTTGAAACTAAAAATATTTTCCTCCAAAACTATATTTGGGTTGCCTTCCTCTGTATCTTCTCTCAGACACCAGAGACTGTTTTGGTAGATAACTATTAATAATAATGTAGATTGGATCAATTATATTTACTACAATTTGCAGAGGTCCATAAATTATACTAGAGATGCTATAAAAGATTGCAGAACAATTAGATGCCACTAGTAGGATAGCACGGGAAAATAGGATAGCATTAGACACGATGTTGGCTGAAAAGGGAGGAGATTGTGTGATGCTAGGCGGTCAGTGTTGCTCCTTTATTCCTAACAATACTGCTTCAAATGGCATCATAATTAGGACACTGCAAGGACAAACCACTCTGGCCAATGAACTGGCAGAGAATTCAGGAATAGACACTTCACTTACTGGATGATTAGAGTCTTTGTTTGGTAAATGGAAAGGAGTAGTAGTATCCATACTTATATCTTTGTGGTAGCAGGGGTTTTAACAGCAGTTGGCTACTGAACTATCCGTTTTGTTAAAGAATTGGTCCAGTGGCTAATTGAAACCACCCTATCTAAGCAGATGTCAGTAGGGCCACCACTGTAAAGATGTTGATGTTATGGGAAGAAGTAGAAAATGGTGATCAGGACAACCTCTGCACAGAAGAGAACTGTGAAGGCTGGAAGTCACCTACAGAACCATGCCTTAATAGAAATTGCAAAAAGCAGTAGTTGTGTAAATAAAAGTAAGGGGGAATTCTGGGAGACAACATATTGTTTTTGCAGAAGAAATAGAATGTGATACAAAAGGGACATATCTCGGAATCCATGATACCAGGTAAGTGTTTGTCTGTGGGAAACGGGTATTCTTGAGAAATAGAAGACTGTGAAAGAATGTCATTTTTAGAGCTAACAGGAAAATCTGGCTGGCATTTTAACTCTCCTGCCTTGGGAAGATTGCTGGAAAGGAGGTGGGGGCAACCAAAGTAACATCTTTAAGACATACATCTGTATCCAGAACTGCACAAGAAGAAATAAACTTATCTGGCAGATACATGGCAGGATAAACTGGAGAGGCAACTAATTTGTGGATTTTGCTTACTTGGTGAGACAAAGAAAGATGGACTTTTGTCAACTACCTGCAAAGGGGATGCACACATGATATGCAAACAGGAGAGAATGTGACCCTGGAAGTAGGGGAGGGACACAGTACTGGGAACTAAGAGATGTAAGAGCTTTGTTTCTTTACAGCAGGCACTTTTGCTTGCAGAACACCTACCACTGCAATTGCAAAATAAAATACTGTTTAGTGAGACTCTTGATTGAGCCTCAGCTATTGGCTTGCGAGTGCTTCTCACAGCTTGAACCTCCACTGCCATACCACCACCACCTGACTCTGATATCTGGTAACAACAAACAAGGCTGAGGTACTTAACTTTTTTGCCTCTGTTAACTCTGATAACTGCTTGCCACACAGCCCTCAAACAACTGGTTTAGTAGCAGGGAACTAGGGAAGCAACATCCCTCCCACTGTAAGTGAAGATCAGGTTCGTAACCACCTGAGGAACTTGAACATCCACAAGTCTATGGGTCCCAATGTGATTCATCCCAGAGCTGTGGGGGAATTGCCTGATGTAGCCACAAAGCCACTCTCAGTGATATCTGAAAAGATGTGGCAATCAGGTGAAATCTGTGGTGACTGGAAAAAGGGCAACATCACACCGAAATTTTAAACAGGTAAAAAGAATGAACCTGGGAACTTTCAACCTGTCAGTCTCATCTCTGTGCCAGGGAAGATTATAGAACTGATCCTCCTGGAAGCCATGCTAAGGCACATGGAAGGCAGCAAGGTGATATCAAAGAACCAGCATGGCTTCACCAAAGGCAAATCCTGCTTGACCAACTTAATGGCTTTCTATGATGCTGTCACTGCATCAACAGACAAGGGAAGAGCCACTGATGTCATCTATCTTGACTTTAGTAAGGCCTTTGATGTGGTACCCCACAAGATCCTTCTCTCCAAGTTGGAAAGACAGAGATCTGATGGGTGTACTGTTCGATGGATGAAGGACTGGTTGCAAGACTGTACCAAGAGAGTGGTGGTCAATGGCCTAATGTCTGGAAGGGGATGGTGACAAGTGGTGGGCTGCATCAAAAGCTGTACAACCAGCAGGGTGAGAGAGGTGATCCTACCCCTCTGCTCTGTGCTGGTGAGACCTCACCTGGAGTACTGCACCCAGACAGAGATTCCTCAGTACAGGAGAGACACAGACCTGGTGGACTGTGTTCAGAGAAGGGCCACAAAAAAGATCCATGGAATGGAACAGTTCTCCATTGAGGACAGGCAGAGAGAGCTAGGGCTGTTCAACCTGGAGAAGAGAAGGCTGCAAAGTGACCAGTCAAGTTAAGTGGCCTATCGATATCAAAAGGGGAGCTACAGGACAAAAAGGGACAGACTCTTCAGCAGGGTCTGTGGTGATAGAAGAAGGGAAAATGGCTTCAAGCTCAGGATGGGTAGATATAAGGAGAAAATCTTTTATGCTGAGGGTGGTGAGGCACTGGAACAGGTTGCTCAGCATTGTGGTTGATGCCCCATCCTTGGAGACTACCAAGGCAAGGCTGGATCAGGCCCTGGGCACCCTGATCTAGCTGTGGTGTTCCTGTGCATTGCAGGGGTGTTGGACTGGATGGCCCTCAGAGGTCCCTTCCAATTCTAAGGATTCTATGATCATAAGCAAACATAATAAAACAGGAGGCATTACTTTCAAAGCAGCTCTCATATAATATATTTAATACATAAGTAACAAAACATTTTAATTCTTAATATTTTTATTGAAACTTTTTAAAAAAGAAAGCAATAAAACAAACAAAAAAAACACGTGGGATGTTTGACTGTTTTTGTGAAACTAACATGAGTCTAGTTCAGTGGCAGTGGTTGCAATTCTTAGTGAGGTATCAACGGGTCCATCAGAGATTTCTGATGAAATATTACTCATTCTGTGCTTCATCCTTGTCAATTAATCACAAATGTATGTACTGCCAAAAAGCAATGACATGAATAAGGTGTGACTGCAAAGTGAGAAACATTTTCGCTATTAAGAGAGGTCTTATGGAAGTCTGTTAAGGAGACATACAAATTTTTTTAGTTGAATATACGATTGCATCTCTATAGATTCCACCTGAAAATTTTAACTTAATGTATTTATACTGACAGAAAATGTAGTTGCAAGCATAAATTGATGATTTTTTTGCAATCCTGAAACCTATCCTCAAATTCCCATATCAAAGCAGAAATCAACACTCACATTTTTCTCTGTTCACAGAAACACTGACTGTGTTTAGCCAATGTATCAAAATGCACACCAGTGTCTGGTTGTTGCTGAATGCACACCTGGGGCCAGGTTGGGTCACTTGACAGGGTTGCCGCCTTTATAGTGTGAGTTGTCACACTGCAAGCTGTGCTGGGCCACAGGTCCAACATGTCTGATTTAATGCCAAATCAGACTCTTAAATGTTCTGATGATATTAACCTGAATATGTTGAAAGATACAGCTGTCATTTGCAGAAAAGAATAAAACCCGAAGTCCACATTTTATGGCCCTTTAGTATTTGCTGTGACTTATGGCACAATACAGGATATCTTGCTTGAGTGGAATGGGAGGTAAAGCAAGATGGCTATCAGTTTACAAAATCTAACTGGCCATAAAAATATTTTCTTTGTTTTGGAGAGGTAAAACCCTAACATGCAGGACTGACAATTTCTCCCACTTTAACACACTAGCTGAGAAGGTAATAAAAGCCCAAGGCCAGATTTTCAGCAGGTTACCTTCATCTGCTCCATGGTACATGACAAAATTCTAGCCGGGTTTAAGTCATTTTTTGAACAAAGATATTTTCCTTATTGCAGGCAAGTCTTTCACCACTCACAAAAGGTCAAACTGTAAACAAGATTGCTTAGCACAGACTGGCTGTAAATGTTATAAATCACAGGACATTGATTAATCCACTGTGCTGACCAGAAAGCAATACCCATATCTATTTTATGAGCTGATGTCTAATATAATGACCTCCACCAATCTTCGATAGCTTACATGTGTATTTCCACTTTTGATTTCCTCCAGAGAGCTTGCAGCTACCAGAAGGTGTGTAACTACTCACATGCAAATTTTCTCACACAATCACCATTATCAGCATTTTATTTTGTCTACAAATTAGTACAAATCCCGCCCTCATTTACATTGCTCCTGTACTCTCCAATGTTTAGGATTTCAAGACAATATCCAAATTTAACATCGTTATGTATACTAACCACAGAAGAGCAATCATTGTTAAAAAACAAACAACAAATCCCATAAATGAAGTAGGACCTCACTGTGGCCTTCCAATATTTGAAGGGAGCATATAGTAGACAGGAGGGGGAACAGCTGCTTACAAGAGTGCATAGTGATAGGATACGGGGGAATGGTTTTAAACTGAGACAGGGGAGGTTTAGGTTGGATATTAGGAGGAAGTTTTTCACCCAGAGGGTGGTGAGGCACTGGAACAGGTTGCCCAAGGAGGCTGTGGATGCCCCATCCCTGCAGGCATTCAAGGCCAGGCTGGATGTGGCTCTGGGCAGCCTGGTCTGATGGTTGGTGACCCTGCACATAGCAGGGAGTTGGAACAGTATGAGCATTGTGGTCCTTTGCAACTCAGGCCATTCTACGATTCTATGATTCTATGATCTAACACCAGCTCCTAAAAAATCACAAAAGCTTAAATCCTTGATTATTCTCTATAATGTACCAGACCGCGATTTAATTCCAGTAACTTCACAGTCAATTATAAATAAAACATAATAAAACACAATGACATGTAGGAAGTCAACAATGTCCTAATTATAAACTGATCAAAAGACTCAAAATCAATAACTGGCTTTGAATGGGGTCCATACGACAGACCACCAGCAGCCTGCATAATCCAAATTACACCTCTAGACACTACAGATCTCTGTTTCATACTGGAGCAGCCTTTATGGGGGTGCAGTAAGACAGGTAAAATGTAAGCTGGCCCTAAGTTATGATTTGGTGTACACAATATGGGTATCAAGGTCAGTTTATGACAGCTGGGAGTTGTAAATAGTTTGCATGTTTTCTTTGTTATTTAAACTCATAGTGCTGGTCTCTAATGCCCCATCAGGGCAAATGAACGCAACAAAATTTCTGCATATCATGCACAACCTATCTACAGCAACAGCCCACCTGTGACACGGCACTCTGAGGCAACAAACAGTGGTTCACAGGACTAAGAATGCAGGACAAAACCTCACAAAGCAAGAAAACCTAGCATTGTCACACGGTCCATTAAAGTTCCTTACTAATTTGTTATACATCTGCCAGACAAACATCTTTAAGCCCATGGAACAACGAAAGAGTGAGCTGAGAGGGAATATAATGATTTATCCTTACTTTGGACTTACAAGTTGCCCTGAACAATTCTGGTACATATCACTTCTTATTCTGTTCTCCTTCCTATTGCAGTTCAAATTTTAACCATTTTAATGATTCATGGCAGTGAAAATTTTTGGTGTCTGATGTCAAATACACCTATAAAAGCTCTGTTTTAAAAGCAGTCTTTAATAGCTAAAGAAATCACAACTACTTGCAACAGCAAAACCTTAGATTTCAAAAAGGAGGAAACATTCATCAATAATGCAATACTGTACAAGATTATTAAAAAAAATTGAGAGAGAGCATTTAGGAATTTCTTAAAACGCATATTGTCCATGAAACTACAGGAAACAACACACTTAAAATAGTCACATATATTTATACTCTTTTAACTCAACATTATTGAATAATGTTGAATCAAACTAATACAATATTTTAAATGAAATTTAAAAGATAACAAAGGCCAATGACTTGAAACTATCTTTAAAACAAACAGAAAATTGCAAGGAATTCACAGGAAAGTATTTGAATTTAGGCAGGCAGATAATATCCTTAAAAATAATATCCTTAAAAAGACTGTATCGGTGTAATTGAAAGACGGTGTTAATTATTACTGCACTTATACAGGAGTAAAGCAAAAGCAAACAAGTGAGAATTTTTCATCATTAAGAATGTAAGAATTATGCCATTCCAACTTCTTTATATTTTTTGGTCTCTGTCTGGTATGTTTGTTACCTTCCCTACTTGTGCATCGATACAAACACCTGAGCTGGCAAGAAAGTAGCAAGAATGGCAGAGAGAAATCCAGGCTTCTCAGATTTATCCCAGCTGCTTACATAATACATTTATTTATTTGATTTAAATTAATTCTCATCCACATTTATTTGCCTAAGTATAGTCATTAATTAATTTTATTAGAGCACAATCTTTAAGATGTCAGTTATTTAACCACAGATTATGGACACGAGTGTTGCCGGTCTGACTTTCATTCAGACCCTGGAAATGAGTGATGGCTTCGTTAGCCTCATCTGACCTGTCCTTGACTTCTATGATTCAACTCTGCTAACATCAACAACTTCACTTTGCAGAAGATAATCTTCTGCTCTGGTAAAAATGACTGTGTCAGATAGCAATACCACCTGAAGCATTAATGCTGACTTGAACTCCACCGGCTGCCTGAGACAAGTAAACTATGGCTCAATCTTTGCTCAGTGCAAACAGTAATGTAAACTGCTGTCAAGCTGTGCTTTGTGCCCTATTACGTGGGATGATACAGGCTGAAAGCATTAGCAACAAAACCTCATCTCCATCCAAAAGAATAGGAATGTTGCACACAATTGTCGGAAGCCACAAATGGATCAACTAATGTAGTGTGCGTATTTACAAATACATGTATGTCCACACAAACATGCACACACACACACTCTCATCTATACAAGCAGAATAAGCAGAAATGTTGAAGCTGATTCAAAACAATTCATCTTGGCTATTTTCGGTAATCATCTAAATGTGCTGGCAAACATCAAAGGATTTCTCACCTGTGGCAAATGTAACTGGAGCCCCTCACTAGGAATGGGCTGTCGAGATGGAGTCTGGTCCAGCTGCATGTTAAACAAGGATGCCAGGGCTGACTGAGCAGCCCGAGCTTTCGCAAGCTTTTTATTCCTTCCTGATCCTTCAAATGTTTGCCCATCCACAGCGACAGCCATGACAAAGTTTTTGGCATGGCTCTCCCCGCTCTCTGAGAGAAACTCATACTTCAGGCCTGGCCGGAGCTCATTCAGGATCATTACAGGATTCTTCCCACTCGCGGTCGGGTATGGCAATGATGCAGGGAGAGGCAACTGAGTAAGGCTACTTGCCACAGCAGCTGATGGCAGACCATACTCCCTGCTGGAGCCAAAGGAGCCATCCCCATTGGACCCTAGGTAAAAGGAAGCATCAGAAGGAACTGGAGTTTCAAATCCATTGAAAAGCGTGTCAGGAAAGTCTGCCTGGTCAGAGGTGAAGTCCGTGTTGACAGAGAGAGTCCTCCCCATGGCCAGGTGTGCTTCTGATGCATTTGGGAACTGGACAAATGACCGCAGAGCCTTCTCAGCAGCGTGGAGCTTGGCTTTCTTCTTTGTGGGGCCAGAGCCCTCAAACACCTGTCCGTTAACCTCAACAGCCATCACAAACATTGGGGCATGAACTGGCCCCGTCTGGGACAGCAGCTTATACTGTAAACCAGGTTTGATCTCATTAAGTTGCATCAGGGCATTCTTTGGCAAGACAGGACCTGGTGTTTTCTTCCTCTTCTTAGGGCGAAATTTGGAGTGGCCATTGTTGCCTTCCTCCAAAGGCCGCTTTCTGCTGCTGCTGCTGCTGCTGCTGCCACCATTGGAGAGCTGAGCCCCCTCCCCGGTGCCTTGTGCACTGCCATCCTTGGGGGGAACGTTGTCCATGTTGCGGTTTTCTTTAACATCAGTGCTGCTTGAACCTGCGGTGCCCAGAAAGAGTAACTTACAATGCCTTTGTTGCAGGATCTTGTAAATGCAAAATTTATAGATTCCTTTATCTCTCTTTGTAATTGGTTAAGTGATGTGTGCTCACAGATTAAAGCTTTTGCAGCATAAATGGAGAGCAATACCTCTTAATAACAAAGAACACATTCAAGACTTTCAAATTTGCTCTTGATACTTTCATACGACAATAAAACACGGAAGCTTTTTTTTCAACTGAAACTGATGCTGAAGTAAAATTTTTACTCATAAATTACATTTGAAGTGAAAAATGCCTTAAAACAGAAAAACATTGTATTATTTGTAGGATAAACTAACAGTAGTAAAATAAAAATGGATACTTCAGACCAATACTAGGAGATTTACATTTAATTATACTTCATTCTTATTTTATTCATATTGCATTTCTGTCTCACATGATTTTATTTGCTCAATTCAAGAAATAACATAAATAAAATCTGAGTTGTGAAAAACAGAGCAGTTCTTTGTTAGCTAGACACCTTGACTGAAAACTGTATGTTTTGCTTCTCTGTAGCTATGCCATATTCTCCAAATTCAATCCTTTTTTTGCTCTTCCCAGTCTTCAACAAAGGCTAGCATAGAGCACAGCTCTTCTCACAGCAACTCTAACCCTTTAGCAGCATACACTGAACACAGCTGTTAAAAAATTCTGCGTCTAACTTAGACTGCACCAGAAAACTACTATACATATGTTTTCACACAGCCTTTGATTGAGAAACCTTTTTTGCCATTTACATGCAGTGTTTAAATTTCTTGCAAAGTAAAAAACTGCTCTCTCAGATTTTAAAACAAATAATGAAGATTGTCTCTTTAAGACTACACAGAACACAAAATGTGTGACAAAATCTACACAATCACAATGATGCTATTTTAAAGGGGAAGAAAAACAATGTGGTATTGCAGCATTAATGATTAATGCAATGATTTATTTTCTAACTAGAAAATTGGGGCAGTGATAATGTTGGATATATATTTCAAGAATTACACTTGCTGTAACGGGAAAGATCTAATTTTTACTCTGATTAAAAAAAAGAATGAAATGACTTATTTGTGCTTTATAGCAACATTCATGAATGAAAAGGCAAATTTACTTGGTCAAGTGTTTCTAACTCTTCTGTTCCAAGACTTCAGAATATCTAGTACTATATTAAATTCACAGTGATAATAGGTAATAAATATTTATTGAAATTGGAGCAAATGAAGATGGAAGATCTCAACAAATTTCAAATCATGCTTTCTTAAGTATTCACTACCCTGCACACATCACTTAGCCCAGCTTACAAAGCTGATGGAATAGTTACTAAATTTTCATTTATAACATCCTCCAGCAAAAGCTCGATAGGTTACTCCTTTCGGTGCTCAAAGAGAAAAAAAAAGAAAAAAGAAAGATGAAAAAAAAAAATCCTAACGCAGAACATCTTTTGTTAGTAGTGTAACAAGGAACTGTACAGTATTTAACACTGAATTCCAGTCAAATACTGTACAGATACATGAAACATTCGGGAGTATTTCATAGCTAGAAATCTGCTAAATTTAATAAAGAATCTCTTGTAATATTCAGCCACAAATTATACTGTCTGCAGAACATGCTGTGTGGAGACACAACAGTCAATACAGTGTTCATGTTTATCTCTCCTTACCTTACTACAGTGAAAGAATTTAAAGAAAATAGAACAAATTTTTTTAAACTTCCTTACATTGATTTTTCACCTAAAGTTGTAATCTTCAGAAGTCATCTAAAATTATCTAAAACAGTGCTTTTCAAACATTGTTCTTACTAGAAGCAACATAAATTTCCTGCAGAACAACGTAACTTTTCAGCTAAACAGATTTCTTCATTCAGTTAAAGCCAAAAAACAGCTTCTGTTTGCATTTTCCTCTTTATAACGAGTGTCTGTGGAAGCCACGTAAGGAAAATACGAGCTGAGCAGACAGCAACTGAACATACAAAGAGAAGTTTTATTTCCAAGTTCAACAGCTGGAGGAACTATTTAGTCAATTTCGTTACACAAGTACTGGAAATCATGTCCTGTTAAAGAGGGAGGATTTGCAGGGGGCAGAAAAGAAACTCATATGCTTACTTTGGTTTAGAAAGGAAAAGGAAGGGAAGAAAACTGCTCCTTGCCTGCAAGTTACCAGGCATGTTAACTTTAGAGAATCTGTAGGGTGGAAGAAACTAGGAGAGAGAGCAAGTGGGGAGCAAGCAGCCAGTGTCAAACTCCAGACACTATGCAAGTAGGCAAATTTTCACATCATTAAGATGATCCAAATCAAAACCCTACACATGGTGGAAAGAAAAAGTCTTTCTCTGTGAACCAGAAGGCTCTGGTTTGTTTCATCCCATTAAGTGCTGAACTGGAAGAAAGAACATCTGTTTTCCAGGATAAGGGAGAAGATTTCCTTTCAGAATTTTCCTTTAGTCCGTCCTGCTCAGCAGCTGTGAGTTCCCCTAATTACCTTTGGGCTGAAAAAGAACTGACAGGTTAGTCAAAAAGTAGTATTAGCTAAGACCACCTGCTAAAGTCAGAGAAGTCACCTTTCATACTCTTTCTCATATTTAGACATCCTGAACTTCCTCCATTCCAGCTCCTCCCTACTATTCAGAAAGGGCTCTCATTCCACCAGGCCTCTATTGCAAAGCCTTATCATGGTGGAGGACTTCAGAATGGGCTTACTACCTCATCTAGCTCAAAAGCTAACTGACTGCCTGCGGGGCCAATAGCAGACCTCAGAAGAAGAGTAAAACCAGAACCAAGATCCCAGCACAACCGCAGAGAAATCTCCAAGCTTTCAGGGTGCTACAGCTCTTGAAGTGTCCTTGAGGAGGCATGATGGGGAGCTGCAGATGTCTTTTTTTCCCCCATTTTTTCTAATTGCTGTTCAAGACCATACATACTCTTGGTATCACTTCTGAGTTTCATTATACACTGAATGAAAACATATCCCATTGCTTGCTTTGAATCCCCATCCGCTAATCTCACCTAATATGTTGTTTTTAATTTGTTGATTTCTATATGTTATGGTTCTAATAACAGTAATGCTCCTGATTATGCATGTATCCCCCTTGTCACCCCCCATCCACCACTTTTTGAGCAGAAATCCATTGGGTGTTAAGGAGCACGACACACTGTAGATTTACCTTTTTGCTGTATTTTGCACTCTTTTTTGTTCTGTTAACACTTTGTTTTAGAGACCATAAGACTCTGAGATGTCTCCCACACACTTCGAAGGGAATGAGAAACCCTGAAATCTCTGTCTGACTCAGGATTCCATGAAGCTAGGAGCAGCAGTACTTAAAATTCTGCTGCTCTACACCAGAGTACACAGAAGGCACTGACCATCACTCCATGCACTTTCTAAAACACAGCTCAGCTCATTTCATGTGTCTGATTCGGTGTGCTGCCAGTATCACAGCTAAAACAAGGCAGGAGAACTAAAATTGTAAATGTTAAAACATTGTCAAGCATGTACAGTAATTAGGAGAGGTCTGATGAGTAAGAAGATTACCATCTGAACTATTAAAATAAAAAAAAACTCTCCATCCAGTAACAGACATTTTCCTTTTTTTTTTTTTTTTTTTTTTCCAATTTCTTGCAGTTGACAACAAGATTACATACACAGTCTTGATAGATCTAACAAACAAAACACAAGATTTATAAAAGTAACTAACACTATATTTTATATATGTACATGTATGCTGGAATTCAAGAAGCATCTGGACAGTTCTCAGACATATGGTCTGATTTTTGGGTGGTCTGACATGGAGTTATGAGTTGGATTCATCTTTATGGATCCATTCCAACTTGAGATATTCTATGATTCTATATATGTATGTATATTCAAGTCTATACATTTTTCAGTCTTTAAATTCTCAAGTACTGAATACTTTAGGCAGCCTTTTCAAGTTGATCACAGCTGTTGTGTATTCAGCTCTTTGAAGCAGCATCAATATAGATACAACATCTGACAACAGCATCCTGCTTTATTAAACAGAAAAGCTACCCATGATTTAAAAATAAGATATTTTTCCTAATACTACCCTTCTGGACCTCAGTACAAATGTCCTGATGGCAGGATACTGAGGTATCTTTCACTGCACAACATGCACCGTTGGCAGACAATCAAACCTCACACAACACCAGATTATTCAAATGAAAAATCTCGAAGAACTCATTATCACATTAGCCAACATTAAAATGTTGTATGCTACTAGCTACATGAAATGTCTTCTGTTAGAAATGCTCACTTGATGCATTGTACTGTCTTGGCCTTCAACCTTTCTAATTGTCTGGCTTTTTCATGTCAAAATGACTTTTATTTCCATCAAGTCTCACAATGATCTGCCTACAAGAATTACACAGAAGGCTCCCATCCTGAGAGTTCTGCACAAATCTGCTGTCAAGATAACCCAGCCTACCTTGGGCAACCTTATACCCTGTTGCTAGCTCTTCTGTGAGGTAAAGGAATTTGCAGAAAAGCAGCTAAGACACAGTACACCTACAACCCAGGATGGGTCTTACATGCCACTCAGACTGGGATGCATAGTACTCATGAATAGTGTTAATGCAGTATACCAAACTATTTATCAAAACAGGAAAATATTTTGTAGACATAAGTTATAACTGGACTAGCACATAATCATGTATACTTCAAAAACACTTTCTACTCAAAAGCTCTTAATTATGCTTATATCCTATATTTAAAAACATACAAAAATCATTTTAATTCATGCTTCAAAGTTCCTTCAGTCATCTGTGTGGTTTATGAGAAAAGGTAACCTTTGAAACGACTGCATAATTCAGTAGTGTAAATAAACATCTTACTCATGTTTTCTTCATCATCTACATCCATTGTGAAATACTTCTGATGTTTTTTTTGGCTGGCAGAGACTGCTGCTGTCTGAAAAACAGGAAGTGGAATATTTAAGTTTTAATATAACCAACGTACAAGGTAAAGCACTAGATCTCCTTGAAAAGCAGAGGTCTGGGCACTAATTTTGATTTGGGCTCTCCATGGCTACTTCTGTAAGCGAAAGTATATGTTGCAGAACTGCAAATTCAACAAAGTTTGCAAGAATTTGTTTTCTGAATAGTGAACTTGTGAGAGGTAAATTATGTTTTTTCCAGTATGTGACTGTGTGGTTCCAGTCTTGGTAGAATTTGGCTAATTTCACCTATGACATGATACAAGATTCTGCCACAGCATTTGTGATGACCACAGCCCAAGCATCAGTGTACACTATATACCCCATAATTGCCTTAGGTATAAATCATGATGAGTCTGTTCTTTACCTTACTGACCACTGAGAATGGGCCTATCTTGAAGCTGAGAACTGGTTTATGTTACCACTTGTACAGTAAGAACTCAACGAAGATTTATTTGTGAAAGCAATACCATCAGGGGCCAGGATATCTGTCTTGACATGGAACAGAATGTATGTCATTTTGAAATCCATCCTAACTAAAAACCTGAAACTGTATTGATCCATATAGGAAAAGGCTGTGTTTACATGAGGACGCACTGCAATTTTAATGTGTTTAATATCGATACCATAGATACTAGAACTCATGCTAATCCTTGTATTTGTAACTTCACCAAAATAACAGGGTGTGATTTTACATCTATTGTACCTGTCACCTCATATCAGCTACTACAATCTGATTACACACAGATCCAAGGTTTACTACCAGTTCATAGTGGAATGAATATTGCAATGGTGAAGAAGTTGTTACAACATGATGACTTGAAACGGTTATTGAAGTAATCCAAAGAGAATGGACAAAGAACTCTGATCACAGTAGACCACGATGTGAAGGAAATATATTGAATAATGGAACGGGCAAAGAGAGATGGAGAACAAAAATGGTGGGATGTTCTTTTGGATGGTCACCTGCTGCAACAGGGCTTTGCAATATGATACTGCATCCTATTGTGGTTATTTTGATTTTATGCCTGATCTGCTTACTCTTAATAGTAATCTTATATATTAGAGTTTGGAAAATAGCAAGATGATTAGTTCTAATACATTACTGCAGTCAATTAGCAAGGTAGGCTAGAAAGATAGCTCTCCTATATTAGAAATGTTCCATAGTTTGTGCAAATACAAAAGAGGGTAAAAAGAAAAAGAAGGGAAAATGTGAGAGGTTTGTTTTTGCAGTAGAAGCTCCCAATATTTTCTGTATGCACTATAGGCCTTCACTAAACTTATAACCCTCGTGAAATAGCTGTTTTTCTTCCACTAAGAAAGTTGCTGAACAGAGTAAAAAGTCAAAGATTTGGAGCATTCTGACTGGGATAGAATTGACTTAGGTACAAGATAAGGCAAATATGCAGGGTTGGGAGAGAGCCCAGCACAGGACAGAACAGACATGCTCATGCTTGGAAATACTGCCCTCCTATCTCTATGGGAAAATACAAAACATATCAAAAAACAACAGGTTGGTAATGGACCTTATATGGAAATGTGACACAGCAACAGTGTCGGGGAGATTGTGAGCTGAGACGCTGAGCCAGTGAGCGAGTGCCAGGAAAGCATTACCTGTGTAGGATTTAGGGTACGGAACGGAATGAATTTCGCTGAGCAGTGCGCAATTTCTCCCTTGCCAATAGGGGGCGCGCGTCTGTTATTGCGATAATGATAAACTTCGCTGCTATCACTAAGACCTTTGCCTAACCTGAAATTTTTGGCTCTGAGTGTTTCTCACGAACTACAGCATTTTTATTTTTTTTTTAATCTGAAAGAGGATATAAAATATTTTATCTCACTACTAGCTAGTGGTGGTGGGTTTTTTTTGTTGTCTGTTTTTTTAAGGATGACAATTTTCATGAATTAAATGAAGCAATGCTCTTCCCATGGGGAGCCATCAGTGTGTCTCAACATAAAATTCATGTCAACTCCATTCTGCAGGCTAACATGCAGGTAATTCAAGCAGTCAAGATACTGACGATGCAGTTGTTTACCCAGCACAATACTGATGTACATTTGTTTTTTGTACATTATTGTACAAAATTTTTGTACATTACATACAAAAATTTTGTACATTATTTTGGTTAAAACTAGAGCTGCTATTCCTCTTTAAATTGAGATGATAGATGTAAGCCCAACATCAGCTGAAGGACAGAATGAGTAACATAGTCTTCTCTCCTACACATGAATTGTGCTCATTTCTTATTATTAATCAAAACATTCAGACTACGTTACATATAGATTATCTGGCTTTGGGAAAACAATTTTACTAACCACTGAAACTTCTGCTCTTATACTCAAGAGACACAAATCTAAAGGTGAATGTAAGCATCTAACATAACAATGTAATACATTCAGCATTTTGCTTGTAAGAAAGCAGCACTTTTAACCTAATCGTTAGAGGGTGGTTTGTTTTGTTGCTTTTTTGTTGTTGTTTATTTTTTCTTCACAAAGAAGAGCGTGACAAGACCAACAACAAAGTTCCTCCATACATTTGTCAGGGGCAGTGCAAACTTTCAAGTGGCATGAAGTTAAAATAATAGGCTTACACACACTTTTTCTCTCAAGACTCCCAGGAGCACCTAAAACAAATCACAGGATTTCCTCCATTTCCACCCCCCCCCCAACTCCAATTCAAAGATGGTATGTATAAAATGACTATATTATCTCTATTTTGCATACATAATGTCTTTAGGTAAATCGTGGGTTTCCGACTGGCAATCTCTCTTTCCATGCCTCTGTGATCGTTCGCATTGCGTACTACAATCTTTCCACCAGCCTATAACAAATCCTGTTTTCCATTTAATGTGTGTAATTCAAAGAGCGTTTAAGCCCATTGCTCAGGCCTGGTAAAGAGGCATGCTCACATCTGTATGCTTATGCTCTACACATATGTTCTCTTCCCTCCATCTGCTCATCCCCAAAGAAGACTGTGACTGTTGTCATTTGGACTTCAGTTGCCTCTGGATTACATGCATACACTGGGAAAATATCCCACTTTGTTAATGGGGTAACTAGTAAGTTTCTAAAAAAGAAACTGTAGATTTTCTTATTAAACAGTATGTGCTACTAATAAGGCTAAAACTAACACTGTCAGTTGCATAAAATATGTACAGTATTGTGTACTGTTACATACAATAATTAAGAGGAAAATCTTACCTGTACTAACAGCAGAAGTAACAGTGATTCTGTGAAGACACAGCTCAGGCAGCACAGTCAAAGTATACCTGAAATCTATCTATGGAAAGTTTTTGGTTTTGTTCTGGTTTTTTTTTTTGTGCTTTTTTTTTTCAGGCAAAAGAAAATAATATGTAAAATGACTGTGAAAGCCCAGGTGTTTTTTTTTATCATGGCTGTGCATATTTAATGACAAATCGACTCATGAACACACCAGCTATTTTGGAATAAGAATTAAATTCTAACATCCGAAGTGTTGCAAGCATGTTGCTCACAGTGCAACATTCAGCTTGGAAACAAATTAATCTCCCTTTCTCAACCTTACTGACATATACTGTACATGTGTATACAGTACATCCTATAAACTATGTACTTGTTAATGATCTTCAGGACTTTAAAACACATGCTCTTTCCTTAAATCTCTCCAAAAAATGGTGACTCCACCATCTTCCTGGACAGCCGGTTCCAATTTATAACCACTCATTTAGAGAAAAAGTTCCTCCTAATAAGTAACCTCAACCTCCCCTAGCACAACTAAAGCCATTACCTCATGTCCTACTGCTGTCACATGGGACAAGAGATCAACCCCACCTCTCCACAACCTCCTTTGAGGCTGTAGTAGAAAGCAATAAGGTCTCCCCTGAGCCTCCTCCTCCTCACACTGAACAATCCCAGCTCCCTCAGCCACTCTCCATCAGACAGAAGGTGCTCCAGACTCTTCATAGCACCATTACCCTTCACTGGACATCTTCCAGGGCCTTGATGTTTTTCTTGCAGTGAGGGACCTAACACTGAATACAGTGCTAGAGTTGCAGCCCCAGAGTTGCTGAGTACTGAGCGATGCTCACTTCCCTGCTCCTGCTGGTTGCTCTATTTCTGATACAGGCCAGGATGCTGTGGGCCTTCTTGGGCACGCTGCTGGCTCATGCTCAGACAGCTGCCAGGGATGTTAATCCCCTGATCCTTTTCTTTCGCATAACTGTCCAGTCCCACCTTTGGTGATCCTTGGTTTGTTGTGACTAACACGCAGGACATGGCACTTGGTCTTGTTGAACTTCATCCCACTGACCTCACCCCAGTGATCCTGTCTGCCCAGATCCCTCTGTAGGGCCTTCCTACCCTCAGGCAGATCAACACTTCCTTCCAGCTTGGTGTCATCTGCAGTCTTACTGAGGGTGCACTCAATTCCCTCATTCAGATCATCAATGAAGATACTAAAGAGGTTAACTATTAATTGAAACCAAAACATATTATTGTTTAAAAAAAAAGTGTTTGAAAAACAGGGATGCAAGATGCCTAAAAGCACAATACCCCAAAGGTGATGCTTTTTAAGCATAAGAGTATAATAAATGCATAAGTAAGCTAATTATTAGAGCAAGGACTGGGAACGTTGTTGAATGATACAGTTTCCTCCTGAGTAAAGAATCTTCTAGAATAATTTATTTTGGTGTGTACGAAACAGTAAAATAAAATACTCCCAGAAAATAAAATGCTTAGAGGTATCAGGCAGTCAGGGCATTCGTGTTCTATTGAATTACTAAGGCCTAAACAGTAGGCCTTGAATCAAAGTCGACCAATACATAAGTCTCACAACCCAGCGTTGCATATTATTAGTATTCGGTCATTAGCAAAATACGTGTGATCATTAACGAAGTATGCAACTTGGACAAAACGTCTCACCAGAAAGAGATAAGTAGCTTAGATAAAGCACTATGAGAGTGTATTAACCTTTCCTTGCTTAGAAGCACATTGTCAA